AGAATGTATATCCGGGAGGTAGTCAGACTGCATGGAGTTCTAGTAACAGTGGTATCCGATAGGGATCCCAGATTCACTTCTCGGTTTTGGAATAGTTTCCAGCAAGCTATGGGAACAAAGCTGTCTCTTAGTACTGCTTTCCACCCCCAAACCGATGGACAATCAGAGAGGACAATTCGTACACTGGAGGATATGCTCCGAGCTTGTGTCCTTGACTCCGGGGGCCATTGGGACGACCACCTACCCCTGATAGAGTTTGCTTACAACAACAGTTACCAAGCAAGCATCGGCATGGCCCCATACGAGGCGCTATACGGGCGTCCGTGCAGGTCGCCGATCTGTTGGGAAGAAGTGGGCGATAGAAGATTGTTTGGCCCAGATTTGGTAGAAGAAACCACGTCCAAGATAGTTAAGATCAAGAAGAACATCCAGACAGCTCAGAGTAGGCAGAAGAGTTATGCTGATACCCGGAGGAGAGACCTGGCCTTTGAGAAAGGCGACCAGGTATTTCTTAAAGTCACCCCCTTCAAGGGAATTAGTAGGTTCGGCAGGAGGGAAAAATTAAACCCCAGATATATTGGACCCTTTGAAATCTTAGACAAGATTGGTACCACTGCCTACAGACTTGCACTGCCTCCTGAGCTCTCCCGGGTTCATAATGTGTTTCATGTATCTATGCTACGTAAGTACAATCCGGACCCTTCTCATGTCTTGGCTCATGAACTGCTTCCACTCCGAGAGGACTTGTCTTATGAAGAAGTACCGGTCAGTATCGCGGACCGAGAAAGCAGGATACTCCGCAACCGGGAAATATCATTTGTAAAAGTCATGTGGCAGAACCACACGCCCAGGGAGGCGACTTGGGAACTGGAATCAGAATTTAGGGCCCAATATCCCCATCTGTTTGATCAAGAGTAATGAGGCAAATTTGGGGACCAATTTCTTTAAGGGGGGGAGAGTTGTAGCGCCCGGAAAGGGGTCGAAAAAAAAAAAAAGCTATGTCGGCAGCCACGTCAGCAGGCCCGGTCAGCAGTCCCGGCCAACCGGGACCTGCCACGTGGCAATACCACGTCGTTCCGAAACGGGCCACGTTAGCGATCTGCGTAGGCGTGATCGGACGGTCCAGATCAAGCGTGCGATCGGACGGCCCAGATTTAATCGCACGGACGGCCCATATTTAATCAAAAACGGACGGCCCAGATTAAAACAAAATGGACGGCTGAGATCAAAGGGCAAAGGGTTATAAATAGAACCCCCACACCAGACCACAAACCCTAGCCGCCTGCCGCTCGCCGGAGAAGACGAACCAGGAGCCGGCCGCCGCCACCCGCCGCCGCACCGGAGGGATTTTCGACCGCCGATCGAGGTAAATTTCATACCCCCGACTCGTTTTTCTACGCTGATTTCCCCAGTGGCCAAATCGGAGCCAAAATCCTGGCCAAACGGTCGGAAAACACGGCCGAAAGCCAGCGGCGCCGCCGCGCCCCTTCTCGATTTTTGCCTCCGATGAGGCCCTTCCCGGCCTCCGTTTAATGCAATTTTTATATCACCGTGATCACCATTCTTTTCTCTACAGGTTGATCGGAGCCGAATCACCAAAACACGAGCTTCACAGGAGAGCTGCCGCACCCGAGAGCACCGCCGCCGGTAAGCTTCGGTTTTCCGTAAATTTTCGGCCCCCCGAGGGCCGTAGGGTTGTTTTATTGCAGGAACCAATGCGAGTGTGGCCGAATTCGGCCGGAAACAGCCAAAAACGGCCAACCCGAGGCAAACTGCTGCCGCAAGCAGCGGCGCCGTCGCCGGAGCACGGCGGAGCCGCCGTGCCGGAGTTGCGATTTGGGCCGAAAGGGGCCCTGGGCCTAATTTGGGATTTTTTTTGGAACACGTGCAGGTACCAGTAGTGCGTTTCAGTTCCCCGAGAAAAATTCAGGAAAAATTAGAGACAGCCTGTAGGCGCACTGTGAAGCCGTGTTCGGACCCTGAAACGAGTAAGGACCCCTCACCCTATTTCCTATCACGGTTTTAAAGTTCAATAAATGATAAAACGGTATTTCATGAATCAACGAATGTGTGAAATTGCTTAAGGTCGCTAATGGAGTCCGAGTCTAGTGTGTTTGTCGGTTAACTGTTATTTGGCCTGTTTACAGTTTTAAATGCAGTATGAGATTTGATGTTTTCATTTTATGGTTTCGTGTGCATATTCTACTGTTTTATTGATTATGGATTGAATGACCGGAATATTGATGCTGTATGTTGTCTGTTTGGCATAAATTATCGTTTTGCTTGTTTGTATGTAATTGATAATGCTGACTGAGGGAAAAGGAGAATGAAAGATTATGTAAATAGAAATTGTATAATGTGGTCAGCCTGATTAGATATCCTGGGAGATGGTGGACGGACCAGGTCCGTAGGGAACCCTACTGGGATTGTGGTCTCCCATACCGGACGGAGTATGGAGATCTTATGTGTTTTGGCGCCCATACCGGACGGGGTATGGGGACGGCCCGTTTCACCCTCATACCGGATGGGGTAATGAGGTCTATGGTTTGGCGCCCATACCGGACTGGGTATGGGGACGGCCCTGGAATATAATTTCAAGTGTTAAGGGTTAACAGGTAGCGGGACCCCTATGGATACCCATGGATACTAGTGGGGTGGTAAATGAGGAAAATATATTGTGTAACGATTAAATTACGAAAAGCTTGATAGGTATTATGTTATACAGTTCATATATATGTTTTCATGATGATGATGATGTTATTGCTTTCGTATATTGTTTTATGAATTTCACCGAGGTAAGTGAATGGTAAAAGTTTTATTATTAATAAAAAGATTTGTTGTAAATTATGCTCCATTGGTCTTTTTGTGTTTTCTACCCACCTTTACCTCTGTGACGGTGAGATATCGTGATGTGCTTACTGGGCTAGTGTAGATCATTCCTTATTTAATCATTTCAGATCAAGAGGACATCGTTCCCGAGCTGGTTCCGCAGGAGGACGACGAAGGGGACGCCTAAGGACTCCATAGTCACATTCGTAGTTTTTTACTTTCAAGTTTCTCCTTTAGGTAGTTTAATCTTTTATATTTTGTGAGCACGTTTTTGGTTTTAGTGTAAGGGATGTTAATCAAATTTTGTCTTTGCTTCCGCATTTGATATTTATAATATAATTTCCATTTTAAATTTCCGGGGCTGCTACAATTGATACTATTATTATTCATTGTTATTACTATCATTGTCACTCTTAAGACATAATAACTTTTGTTATTTTGTCATATTATATTTGTTTTTGTTATCGTTATTATAATTATCGCACATTGTTAAAATTATTAATGTCAATATTATTGATATTATTACTATTGCCATTATACTATAACACTGTACCTAACAAGTGCTCGTACCATTATCATGGTAGCTACCACCACATTGTTAGCACAAATATTTTGTTGTATTTTAATTGTAATTATTACTACTATTATTGTCATTATTTTTATTACACTCGTTGCTATATATCGCTATTATTTGTTCTTCAACCCTTACCACTAATTTTATTATTATTATAAATTTTATTGTTATTTTGTATTTTCATAACTAACATTCATTAATTACTATTTTGGCAGCTACTAGAATTATCTTTTATTAAAATAAAAAATTATTATTAAATAACTGATATTTCTCATTTAAACCCTAAAAAGGCTAAACTCTAATTAACTCGGCTTGCACCAAACATATAGTTACCATGAATTTTGAATTTTGGGACAAAAAATTAGACTAGTTCCGTCTCTTCTCATTAGTTCAGAGACTTCAACTTCCAACCCCCTCCCAAAACCCTACTAAGGAAGCCCAACCAAACCCGAGAAACCGAGAACCAAGTAAGAGATGGGGAAGAAGAAAGACACTCAATCGTCAACATCACCATCGTATTCCGTGGACCTCCTGGAAACTCTAGAAGACTTCACCAGCAAGGAGAATTGGGACAAGTTCTTCGCAATCCGAGGCGGCGATGACTTGTTTGAGTGGTATGCTGAGTGGCCTCAGCTCCGTGACCCGCTTTTCTCCCTCCTTGGCGATTCTCAGAAGGATGTGGCGTCGACTCCTTCTTCTTCGTCTTCATCGCTACAGATTCTGGTGCCCGGATGCGGCAACTCCCAGCTCTCCGAACACCTGTATGATGCTGGATTTCGTGGCATCACCAATATCGACTTCTCTAAAGTTGTCATCTCCAATATGTTGCGTCGGAACTTACGAGAACGTCCCGTAATGCGGTGGCGGGTCATGGACATGACTAACATGCAGGTCTCTCCCTTTTGAGCCACTTCAATTATATATTTTGTACATGGACATAAGTGTGGAGTGCGGAATAAGCTTGAATACGTGCATTTTTGTTGGTTGCTTAAACCTATAGATATAACGAATGATGGTACTAATTGCCTTTATTTGTTTGTATTTTCTGGATTACTG